TGTACCAAATAAATAAATAATTAATAAACAATAAATAAATAAATAAATAAAAGTAACATGGTCTAAACCCAATGTCTAGGAGTATTTGATTCCATGGTCCTCTGTGTCTTTCACCCTCTTTGAGCTGTTTTATCGCTCTGCAAATTATAGAAAAGTGGAACCATGCACATTGTCATTATAGACAGGAGAGTGAATTTTGATTGGTGGGAATATAACCAAAGGGAGATTCTCCCTCCTTCTGCCTAACCCTAACCACCCTATCCCAGTGATTAAGCTTGTTTTACATTATACATAAATTCACTGTAGGGTACTCCTGACTTCTCTGAGATTCTCTGAATTCTCCTTTGAATTTTCTGTAACACATTGCTTGTTTCCTCATTAACCATTGACTTAAATAAAATCTTCGACATTTTCTTTCTATAATTGTACAAAGTTTTAGTGATGCCCTCCTTAAAAATGTTGGATACATGAAAGTACAACCTTCATATGGGTGATTTTTAAATATCACTTAGCATACAAATGTTTTTTCTTTCTGTTTGCGAGATTACCATTGATTATTGGCTATAGTTTACATTCCAAAAAATCTGATGTAGTACATCTATGCATTTTAATGACAATTTATTAAATTAATTAATTGTCCAGAACCTAGACACTATTTTAATCATGTTTTCATATAAAGATAATTTGATTAAGAATGACAATATTTTAAATTCAGAGGAAAAAGATCACCCTCACTAAGCCATGAGCTAAAGCAGAAAGTCCATGCTATTTTAGAAATTTTATTTTATTTAATTATATCTACTATGCAAACCAGAACTGGGAAAAATATTTGTTTGGTACTTCATTGCATCTAGTTATATGCAAAACATTAGCAATACAGTTTAATTATTACAGGAAAGAAGTAGACCTTTTCTATTTTTTTATTTTTATTTTTATTTTTTTTTACAGGGCCTCATTAGGCATCTCTGACTTGCAGTGATCCTCCTGTTTTCTGCCTCTCCAGCGCTGGGATTACAGGCATGCACCACCACACCCAGACCTGGTGGCCAGCTCAGTGAGCCCAGGGTTGGGACTGGCGCCACATGTGGTGCCGGGGATTGAACCCTGGTCCCTGTACTTAGTAAGCAGGTGCTTAATCTGCTGAGCTGTTTCACTGGCCCTCCTCTTTTGAAACTGACAAAAGATATTACTGAGTATCTTTCCAATGGAAGGCCAAATCTGATTTCATAAACTCATAAACCTTATCTTTGATTAGGTTTTTTTACAAATGTGTATAGATAGAAATTAATTTGGAGAAAACAGTGATGCAAACAACATTTCTCTATAGATACACACCCTCTGTACAGGGAAAGAACAATTAATTTCCTTCTGTCTGTGGATATGACAAGTTTTGCTAGATTTGCACTTATTTGTCATTTCATTTCCTTTTCTGTTTATAAACATGTAGTTCTTGAAGTGGCTGGACTTACCTTGTGAACTGAATTTATCTAATCTAAACAGCAAATTTACAATAAAAAACTTATTTAGTGACAAACTTCCACTCACCCTTGCTTTTTTTCTTGGAAAATTACTTTAGAAAACTTAGTTGTAAATGTTTTCTCTGCTTCTTTCAATGCATATAAATCCTTTCAAAACATCTAATTTTAAAATAACTTTTAAAAACTTTATAAAATTTTACTTAACCTCTTTTTGAACAACCCAGGAATATGTCCCTTGAAGACTGTTCCTGTCTCTGTGGATGTTTAACTTAGGCACTGGCTCCAACTTGTAATTATCTGTTCATTCACGAGACAGGGGAGGCTTAGTTTAGCTTAGTTGGGTTTAGTTGAGTTTAGTTTTCTTATAAAGACAATGAGTTATTACAAATGGCCTCTCCAACTACTAAATAAATTTAGGGTTGGTTGCTGTCAAGTCCTCTTACTTGAAGACAAGTTATCTTTCATCTTAAGAGCATGCATTAACAACTTCTATCTGGCTGGCTACATAACAGATGAGGTTTCTTTCTGCCTTTGTAGCCTCATTAGCAATCGCCTGACATGCTCAGCACTGTAAGGCTCGATTCAGCATGACTCTCCCGGTGTCCGATCTGTTTGCCAGCAGAGAACTTGTGCTCAGTGGCGACAGCTCAGCACTGACACGGTCATCAACAAACACAAGATGTCATAAAAGAGAGAAGATAGGACAAGGGATCTTGCAGGACATCCACATCTGGAGATTCCTGAAAATTAACACTGGATGCCTCAAGGATTTTGCTTACTAAGGTGTAGAACTTCCAGAGAACTTTAACCACAGATGCTTACTATCATCTTCCTGCCTAATGCCCCTTGCCTTCTTTCAGTCCCTATAAAAAGGGCCCATGCCTCTTTGTCCCTACAGATGGCCCTATCACTCTTTTTCTGCCTGCACCCAGGTATTAAACCATATGCCTTGTTGCTTTCGCAAGAGCTTGTTGAGTGGTTTTTGCCTCATTGTGCATTCGTTATAAGCACAATGTGGTTTAATACTTTTTCCATAATAAAATTATTTCATTGTTTTCTACTTTATGATGAAGATTCACTAACTTGGCAATTGATTTTTCTCTCTATTCCCCCAACACCAGTTCCTTCATTAATTAGAGTTAAGTAAAATCTTTCACAAATGTTCATTGGGTATATTGAATGATATTGATATTATTTTATCCTTACCTGAGGAAAAATATTATTTGTAAAGAAACAAAATTAAGTTTTCATTTTAGAGGAGTAGAATATATAGCCTGTCTAAATACCTCTCTTTTATTTTACATCTCTACTGGGGATCAGAGGTGGGTAGAGACAGACATCTAGGCTTACTGGCTTATTACAGAGGTACAGAAATAAGTTTGTACTCTGTACATTCATTCTTCATAGGTCCCAACACCATCCTTTCTTTTTCTCTCTTTTTTTTGTGCAGGGTCTCACTACACAGCTCTGACTCATAGTGATCCTCCTGATTCCTGCCTCCCTAGTGCTGGGATTACAGGTGTGTGCCACCATGCCTGGACTCCATTGTTGGCTCAGCACGCATGGGGGCAGGGCTGGCATGGCATGTGGTGCCAGGGATTGAACCCTGAGCCCTGCACTAACCTAAGCAAGCACTGAGTCCACTGAACTATATCACTGGCCCTCAACATTCTGCTTTCAAAAACAATATTCAGTAATAATCTAGTCAAGTATGCTTCTGGCCCAAAACATTATCTTCTTAGGTGTAATAATTACCTGATCTCAAGCAAGACATCTCTTCTGCTCTTTTTTATACCTTAAACTTGCTCTCCTATTGGTTCAGATGCTAGTATGATTCTGATTTAGGAGTTAGTTTTGTCTTATATTTGCAAATACAATTAAGAAAATTAAATCAACTCTTTACTTACCACATTTTCCATAACACCAAGAACATCAATATCAATGTCTTATTAGATTTGCCTTATAAAGATTTGAACATGTAACCTAGAAGGCCCAGCATGTTCTCATAAACCACAGGCCCTTGATGGAAGATGGAGGCAAGAGAGGGCGTGATGTGGGTGTGTTATGCTGATAGAATCAGATTTTCTTCTTGTTGCTCTTCCTGCAAGGACCTCAGGTTTACCATTTCACAAGCAAAACCAGCGGAGGCTTAGGGTGTTCAGAGATTTTCCTTCAGAAGAGCAGTAAGTACAGGAGCTGAGGTTCTTCCCCAGTGCCAAGTTATCTTAAAAAGTGAATCAGCCATCAATAAAAGAATAACTCTGGGTATATTCTGTCATCGAGTGCCTACCAGGTGTAAAATATTTCCTCACAGACTAGGAGAGAAGAGGAGGGGATGGATGGAAGATGGAGAGGAGAAGGGAGGAATGGAGAGGAAAGGTAATGTTTTGTCTGCCTCTTGAAGTTCCCTCTTTATTTGTTTGGAATGGACGTGAAATATACATTTGTCAGGAAATGGAGCTTAAGTTTATTACTTACTATTGTGTATATTGGGAATGTATCTACAGACATGTACATTTCTCATTTCTTCTACATGATTATTGTAGGTTAAAGATCACTACAGTGTTGGGTAATGTGCCCCACATTTAAGCAGCCTGGAGTTACCAAAAGGAAATGGAAATTTAGCTCTAGATGCAAAGCAAGGGCGTCAAGTACCTCATCACCGCACTTACTGACTAACAGGACTAGAGTCTCTTTCTGGTTGTTAGAGGTTGTGGAAACACGTATGTTACCTGCAGTGATGTTCCTTGAGGACTGTCCTGGCTGGAAGAGACTCAGTTTAAGTTTTCCATCCTTAAGAAAGAGAACAAAACTTCCAGAGCCACGCCAAAATTCACCAGAAAGCAGTTGACCTGCCTCATTCCATGTCTGAAACTGAAAACTGACAGATACTTTGTGCTCTCCAGAGTTGCCTGCTAAAGCCAGATGACTCCTGGGGCTTAAGAATGTCACAGGGACAATTGGTTGTTGTGGACATGAGAAGGACACACTTCCCTATAAATTAAACAGAGAACATGTTCAGAGGTTTTAGAGAGGCGCTTCTATACAATTATGATTCATTTTGCAAAAATTTGTGTTTTTCAATCCAAGATTATATACTCTACCTGATACAGTTTAGATCAATGAAATTTGTCTTCTAACATAAACATGATCATAATTGGACAAAGTTACCCCAGGGGCTTTATTTGTGAAATTCTCCACTTTTTCCTATTTCAGTATTAGCAAAGCAATCATAATGTAATGTAGTCTAAATAAGGGCTCATTTTTCATCAGGCCCTTTGCTAGATGTAGGGAAACAAGAATGAACCATATGTTTTCATTCTGTCAGAATCTTCTGCATATTCAGTCTTTCCTCAATAAAACTCCTTCAGATCTTCTTTGTGCCAGCTTCATTATTTTGCTGCATTCTCTTATTAATTAATAACTTGATTGTACATTTGACATATGATTAGTTAGCATTATTATAGTTCATATTATTTAGTCTTTGGAAAAATTTTACTTTTACAGTGTTCCAAAAATATCTTCTAATAGTTATATGTAAAGTTTTTAATGGTATTCTTAGTGTGAAAACATTATTAAATTTTTATACATCCAACCATGTCTGTATTTTCTTGTATAGCTTCTGAGCTTCAAATCTTTTTTAATGGAAAATTTCATACTCACTTAGGTTATAGCATCATTGCACAAACTTTCTTCTGAGAATTATTATCATGTGTTTCCCATCCTCCTCAAATCTAGTGTTTAGTGTGTATAAAATAATTATCCAGGCTTACTTATAGACAATTGTTTGTTCCAGCAGAGTTCATGAGCTAATTCATCTCTTTTCTACTGAACTGAACCATGTACCTTGTTACTAATAACTTTGTGCATAGACAAATCTTTCTGAGCTCTCTGCTTTGCCTGAGTTGTCTTCTCCTATCCACCACCATGCTAATTTTAAGTATAACATCTATTACTATGTTTTAAT